CTCACCAGCTTCAAAGGCACATCGCCTATGTCTCTTCGCGTGATGAGTCTCAGATCAGAAAGAAAAAGAAAAGAGATAGAGAAAAAAAACAAAAGAAAAATTACGTTGTTTTTGGATAATGGTGGTCACGTTGATGTTGGATTAGCATAGTGTTTTATGCATTTTATTTTTCTCGTTCTGGCGGGAATCTATCCGTTCTATTTGTTGTTTGTTTGTTTTGTTTGTTTTGTTTGTGTTTATATGTCTGTAGTATATATGTGTACGTTGCTGTGTAGTTGTACGTATATGCGTATGTATACTATTACGGTATGTACTGTTGTATTGTATTGTTTTCGTATGACCGTATGTATCTCGTGCATGATCTGTACGGTTTTTTTTTTCCTCTTCTCGTCTCCACCTCCCCCTCGCCTCCCCCTTGCCCCCCCCTCCTCTCTCTCTCTTCTCTCTCTCTCTCTCTCTCTCTCTTCTTTCGCCCCTCTTCTTTTCCTTGTCTTTCCCTTCCTCCTCTACTTTTCGCCTTCGCGCTCTCTACCCCCCTCTTCCTCCAACCTACCTCTCCCACCAAGTCTCCCCATCCCCTTCTGCACCCCTCACTTCCTCGTTCGCAGGCCCCCTTCTACCCTTTCCTCTTCCACCTCTCCCGCCTTTCTCTTCTACAGCCTTTAGCGCCCTCTACCACCTTTCTCTCCCCCTCCTTCTCTCTCCTCCCCCTCTCCATTCCACCATCCCCTACCCTCCCCCCTCTCCTCTTCCCAGCCTCACCCCTACCCCCTCTTCCAGCCTCCCCTACCCCCTCTCCCAAGCCCCCCCTTCCCCCCTCTATCCCACTCTCCTCTCCCATTTTCGTCTTCCTCGCGCCGATTGTTTTCTTTTTAGCCTCGTCCAATTCTCATCATTATCCTCATCTCCATTGTTCTCATGGAGGGTTAGGAGGTATGAGGTGGGGAGGGGGGGGGGGAGGTAATGATGGCTATGGGGTTAGTTTGGAAGCGTTGGGATACCCCCCCACCCCCTACCTATTCCACCCTCCTCCCCTCTTCTTCTCTACTTTGTCGTTTCTCATTCTCTTGGTCTTTCTTCAGTTCACCGTTCGTGTATCTTCTTCCTTTTCCATTTTCTTCACCTTTATTTCTCCCCGCTTCCAACTCTTGTCCCACACCTCTCTGCTCCTTTCTCCTTATTTACTCCCACCCACACCCCTTCCCCTCATTTACTCTCTCTCCCCACGCTCCCCCCCCTCTCCCTTCCCTCTCTCCTCTCCCCTCGCCCCCCTCTCTCCTCTCTCCCTCTCCTACCCTTTCCCTCCTCTCCTCTCCCCTCCCCTCTCCCTTCCCATGGGTCTCCCGCGAAAGGCTCGCACATTCCCATCCCCATTCCCATTCCCATTCCGGCCCTCATAATCCGGGGCGGGCGGGCGAGCGGCGCGGGAACGAGGCCAGGTGACAGGACGACCGCTCGTGACGTCCACGCATGGGGAAGCCTCCTCCTCGTGATTGGTCCATTTTGTTTTTTTTCCTCGCGGCCAATGATGAGGCGCGTGGCAGGAATACACATGATGATGCATCGGCGGGCGGGTGTGAGAAGAGAGAGGGGGGGGGGGTGCTGATTGGTCGGTTTGGTTGAGGGGGGAGGGGGAAGGGGAAGGGGTTGGGTGGGAGGGGTGGAGGTGTTGGTGGGAGGGGGAGGGGATGAACAGTAAAGGGGAGGGGATAGGGGAAGTGGAGGGGTGAAGGGGAGGGGTGGGGGTTGAAGAGGGGAGGGAAATGGGTTGGGATAAGGGGGGTGGGAGGAGGAAGAAGGGGGAAGGGTAATGGAAGAGGGTGGGGAATTGGTCTTGTTTTTTGGGGTAGGGGAAGGAGGAAGAATAAGAAGGGGAGGAGGGGGTAAGAGGGGAGGGGGAGAAAGGAGGGAAGGGGAAGGGGAAGGGGGTGGCCATCGGGTCTCAGGTGCGTGGGAGAAACGCATGATCGCGTATGTTGCCGAGAAACTGTAATCTACTGCCCTTATGCCAACTGTCAGCTGGTTTGAACGATGGAGTTGACCCTTTCCTCCCCCTACTCCCTCCTCTCCCCTCCCCTCCCCCCTCCCCTCCCTCTCCCTCTCTTTTCTCCTTTCTCCCCTCTTCCCCTTCCCTCCCTTTTCTCCCTTCTCCCCTGTTCCTACTTCCCTTCCCTTCTCCTTCCCCCCATTTCCCACCTCCCTACGTCCCCACTTCTCCCTCCCCTCTCCCTCCTCCTTACATCCCCCTACCTCCTTACATCCCCCTCCCCTCTCCTCTCTCTCCACCTCCCCCCACTTCCCTCCTCTCTCCCTACTCCTTACATCCCTCTCCACTCCCCACTCCCCCTCCCTCTCCCACTCCCTTCTCCTCCACTCTCCCACCCCTTACATCCCCCTCTCCCCTCTTCCCTTTTCTCTTTCATAGTACGAGCCACTCCTCCTTATTTTCCCCTTTTTTGGGGTGTTTGTCTTTTCTTTTTCAACAGCACGCGAAAAGCGCACTATTTATGTTTTTTTTTCGAAACGTCTTCATTTGTTATTGTTGTAGTTGTTGTCGTCGTTTTGCTGTTGTTGGTTTTGTTGCCTTCGTTGTTGTTGTTGTTGTTACTGCTGTTGTTTTAGTAGGTCTTGCTGCAGTTGTTGTTATTGTTGTTGTAGTTGCTGCTGCTGTCTTTGGTCGTCGTTGTTGTTGTTGTGGTTGCTCTAGTGTCGTCTTCGCTGCTATTGTTGTTGTTGCTGTCGTCTTCACTGTTATTGTTGTGGTTGTTTGCCGGCTTGCTCTGCTTTATCGTTATTTTGTTATTGCTTGCGTATCGTTCTTCGTCGTTATTGTTGTTGCTGTCGTCTTCGTTGTTGTTGTTGTTGTAGTTGTCCATGTGTCTTTGTCGTCGTAATTGTTGTTGCGGTTGCTCTCTGCTATTGTCTTTCGCTGTTATTGTTGTTGTTGTCGTTCGTGTTGTTGTTGTAGTTGCCCATGCTGTCTTGTCGTCGTTATTGTTGTGGTTGCTCTGTTGTCGTCTTCGTCGTTATGGTGTTATTGTTGTTGCTGTCGTCTTCGCTGTTGCTGTCGTTTCGTGTTGTTGTTGTCGTTCGTCCGCGTGCGCGTGGCGGAGATCCTTCGTCCCGAGAATCGATTGAATCGCTGCTTAATCGCCGTCGCCGTCTTCTTAATCCTCGCCGGGAGTGGCCGTCCTGCCCGGGGTCGGTTGCCGGGGAGGAGGAGGGGGAGGAGGGGGAGGAGGGGAGGAGGAGGAGCGGGGGAGAGGGGGGAGGAGGAGAGGAGGGGGGAGAGGAGGGCGGCAAAGGGTTGGCCTAAAAGCAGTTCTTCTGTTTAGATAGTTTGGTTTGCTTTGCTTGTTTGTTTGTTTGTTTGTTTGAGGCGCGGTGGATATTGTTGTTGGTGTATTTTTTATTTTGGTTTGTGATTGCTGTTCGTTGTTTCTTTGATTGTTGATTTAGTTTTTTTTTTCTTTTATAAACTGGTTGTCATTGTTGTTGTGTTGTTATTGTCGTCTCGGTGTTGTTTGTTTATTCGTTTATTTTGTTTTCGTTCTTAGTTTGTTTTTCTTATTCCTTCTCTCTGTTGACAAGTTACGGTCTTCTTCTCTATCTTTGCCCCATATTTTCTCTTTGTTTCTCTCTCTCTCTTTCCACCGTTCTCGCTGTAGCCTCTTATCATCTTCCATGTTTTTTTCTCTTTCCCTTTCTCAGTTTCTCTTCTTTTTTCGTCTGTTTTATGTTCGTCTTTTTCGCCGAATTAGGAATTATTTTTGTTATTGCTAGCCACCCCCTCTCTGTGGTCGATGTTAATTAATTGTTGTTTTATAATTATAGTCTGTAATTGTATCGCAATTATTAATTTCCTTTGCACTCGGGCAGCGCCCCCCCCCCCCGCCCTCGCCGTGGACTTGCATGTTGCAAGCGAAGGAGACGCGGCCGTTGCGAGTATTGACGCGGGGCGGTGCCGCGGGGGGGGGGGGGGGGGTGTCGTGTCAGGGCGTAATAACGGTGTCACACGTTATGATCCGCGTCGCCGTATGGCCGCCCGCTCGCGGCGTGGGCGGCCGTCGCGCGTCGCCGGCCATGTTGCAGGGGGCGTTGCAGGTGGCAGCCATGTTGCGGCGAGCGATTTACTTCCCCGGCGGCCGAGTCGTGTTCGGCGTCCGTCGCCGCCGCGTCGGAATGGCCGCCGCCCCGCGTGGCGTCGGCCGCCGGCGGTGCATCGGCCTCGCCTGCGAGACGAATCCGACCCTCTGACGCCTTCTCTCCTTGCAGATCCAGCCGCTGATGGGCCCCCTGGAGGGCGGCACGCTGGTCACCATCGAGGGCAGCAACCTGGGCCTGCGCGAGGAGGACGTGCGCGACAACGTGTTCATCGGCGACGTGCCGTGCCGCGTGCACGAGTACCACGTGTCCGTGCGGATCACGTGCGTGACGGGGCCGGCGCCGCTGCGCCACGGCTCGCCCGACGCGGCCGACCTGCAGTTCCCCGTCAGGGTGACCACGCCCGCGGGCACCACGCAGTCCACGGTCAAGTTCACCTACACGGTACGTGGCTTCCCTCGCGACGCTGCTCTTTATTGTTCTTGTTGTTTCTCCTGCAGATTTCATCGCGAAATAATGGCCTTTATCCTTACTAACGCTCCGCCCCCTTTCCTCCGACAGAACGTGAGCGTGACGGGCGTGTGGCCGCCGCGGGGCCCCCTGTCGGGCGGCACCGTGCTCTCCGTCAGCGGCAGGTTCCTCAACGTGGGCTCGCACGTGGCGGCCACGCTGGACGACCTCCCGTGCGTCGTCAACAAGACGCAGTCGTCGTCGCACCGCCTCGTGTGCATCACGTCGCGGGCGGCGGGCGCGCACGAGGGCGGCGGCGAGGCGGCGCGGGCGGTGCGGACGCTGGTGGTGACGGTGGACGGCGCGCGGCGCACCCTCGCGGCGCCCTACACGTACACGCCCGACCCGCAGGTGTTCGAGCTGAAGCCCCTGCGCAGCCCCTGGGG